TGGCTATTTGAAACAAATTAATTGTATTTGTGAAGCTTCTGACCGTTTCTTCTACTGTTGTGAATTTGATGTGTATGTTTTATGTATACTTTTATAGAACGTTTGTGCCTTGGATATTCTAATTGATTGCCTGCAGATATATCAGTAAAACAAAGAAAATTTTGAATATTTGACAAATAATAATGATGTGATGTTTTCATAAAAACAGTTCAAACTAATAATTATTTGATTATAGAAACAAAACAAAACCGTAAATCATGAGTTTTTTTACGATAAATACTGATTTTTTAATACAATTTTCATTGCAAGGAAGAAGAATACAGAGGTCTCAGTTTTCTATTTGTTATTCCCATGCGAACCAATTTGTGTTACGTGTATCTCGAAATTTTATAAATGTCCTTATATCATCTTTGACTAATAAGTTGATGGAATTAGGAGCAGGAGCTCTTTATCATTTTCGGATTGGACCTAGCAGAGTTTTCTTTAATCAGGTGATTGGTAAAGTAAGATAATTCTGGAAGAAGACAGTTTAATTTTGATATTTTTCTATAAGTTTGGCTCTTTAGCTAGAAAGAAGATGCGTTTATTTCGTACCTTATCTTTGTGTATCTTTTTTTTTTGTTAATGCTCAATTTTGTGGCCTCTTCAGCAAGTAGATCGATTGAGTTGTCGCGTGATGTCACTGGATTTCAAGTTTTTGATAATCTCATGAAAGAAGAAGAACTTGCTTGAGTAGTGAGTAGGTTGAACTATTTAATATAAAAAGAACAGATCTAATGAGACTCAGATCATAACTGAAATGTCGTTAGTGTTTCGTTTTTTAATACAGAGTTTTCTGCTTTCTGAATACAAAGTTATTATTATGATCTACAATTAACGATTAAAAAATAATTATTTTTTCCCTTATGTTTGAAGTAAAAACCGAATAACTAAACATATCAGTAATCTCATTCTGGAATGTTCTCTTTTCTTCTTTTAAAGATACTTTTTGTATTTTTGTTTCACTTATTTTTATATTTGATCCCCTCCACGCCGGGTTTAGGATCACGTTGTAAAGCTAAACTATTTGTTTGTTTATTGAATTTTACGCAAAGCCACAAGAAGGCTATCTGTACTAGCGATTCCTAATTTGAAGTGATAAACTATAGTCAGACCGATTACTTTAATTTGACCGTGTCTCTTGTAATGCACACACATCCCAAAGTGCAGAGCGCTTTTTTTCTTTTTTTTTACAACGCTAATCACGGAACCTCTGTTTCACATACAATGTGACTCGCTAACTATTGAGTCACCCTGATCTACTTGGACTTATGTTTCTGGGTCTACAACATTCGTTCGCCAAGTAATTATCTTAGGTTTTCACAATTGAAGAGATCGTTTCGTAAGTCATCTGAAACTGTCATCTATTCTGTAATTATAAAAAAAAAACACGTTCAATTACACTTAAGATATTAAATACAATGTTATTACAATGACTCAAATATTCAATTTACAATTAGCTGGAATATAAAATTTGAAACAAAGTGTTTCAAGTATTTGAACTTCTTTTCTAGTTTTTATGATTGTTTCTTCTAAATATTTTCAAATGATGTTACTAGATGGCGCCAGTTGAAGGCATAAATCATTAGTTTCTACAAATGTAAATCTTATTCTACCTAAGAGAAGTATATCAACAGTAATTATAATTTACCTCTGAGCCCCTCAATGAACATTCAATTGGCAAATAAGATTACCCTCATATATTTTGAAAATATGCCTCGCGTTTTGGGGATTCAAGATCATAAACCTTTCTTACTGGGGGTTATTGGAATTGAATTCATCCTGGTTTAATTTTTTCAAACCAAATTCAGAAAGAACATTATTAAAAATCAAGATGAGAAAAAGGATTTTTCTTAGTTGAGCAACGTTAACTCTCAATAGTTTCAGGATCGTATTTACCTTACAGGACTTTTGAAAGTATTTATCTATCTGTCTGTTACTAGAAAAATCATCTGGTATCAAAAACAGATAAGATACAGAACAAAAAAAGCCGATGAACGAAGCTTAACCTCATGGTTAGCTTGCCAAGTTGCGTAAGGTCTAAGGTTTAAGCCACGATATGCACTTTCAGCTATGGGAGTTGAAGTTAATCCCATTTTGTTAAGAAGCCCCCCAGTGGCACAGCGGTATGTCTGCGGACTTACAACGCTAGAATCCGGGTTTCGATACC